TATATATATATATATACATATATAACAACAAAATTATGTATAAAAATAACGTCAGAATTTGTTGCTAATTTGTTGCTCACAAAATATGTTAGTCTTGATTTAGTTACTCGCACAATAAATATAAACAACAGCAGAAAACTTACATAGCACGTCCTACCCGTTATTCCGATCTTCAAAGAATTAGTTGTTCGCTTAAATTCGATTTTAGAATAATTCACAAGCATTGTATTATTAAAATATGTCGATTTTTTATTTTGTTGCTCTAATATGTTGAAAATGTCGAAGTAACAAATTAACATTATAAATATTTAATTTAATGTTGCATTAAATGTTTTACTATAACGTCCAATCTTTTTTGCGATAGTGAGGGGTCTAATTTAAAAAGATATATTCCAAAAGTAAACGTATATAACATATAAAAGAAATAGGTATGTGTGTGGTATGTATAAAACGAAAAATTATTACAATTTATGTTTTTATTAAAAATTATGTATAGACAGTTAACCAACTATAATACAATCAAAAAATTCTATTGCAGAATCGAATGTCATTTATGCAAAACGATTAAAAAAAGTTAATCATAAATAGCATTCGATTTTGCAATAGAATTTTTTGATGATTGTAATTGGTTAACTGTCTATACATAATTTTTAATAAAAACATCAATTGTAATAATTTTTCGTTTTATACATACCACTCACATACCTAATATCTTTTATATGTTATATACGTTTACTTTTGGAATATATCTCTTTAAACTAGACCTCTTACTATCGCAAAAAAATCTGACGTTATAGTAAAAAATGTAATGCAACATTAAATTAAATATTTATAATGTTAATTTGTCACTAGTTCGACATTTTCAACATATTAGAGCAACAAAATAAAAAATCGACATATTTTAATAATACAATGTTTGCGGATCATTTTAAGATCGAATTCATGCGAGCAACTAATTCTTTGGAGATCGGGTAACAGAACGACGCGAGCGGCCGGGATAAATAATTTATTTTCGACATATTAGAGCTAGCAACAAAATCGGACATCGACATATTATAATAGTATGATACTTGTGGATTATTCTAAGATCGAATTTATGCGAGCAACTAATTCTTTGAATGCGTGCTATAGATCGGAAGAG